TCCCACGTGTGGAAAGCAATATTCTTGTAAAGTTAGAGGACTCCAATTTGGTTGATCCCCGAAGTGTCACTGTGCCAATGATGTTGAAATTTCAACACTGTGTCACTGGTATAGCCGTGCATTAAAGATGAGTTTGAAATCTTTAGCTCACACAAGGACATAAAACACTCCTGTAGAATTTCAGCTTCCCACTTTGCGTGGTTCCAAAATCACCTCTCCGCCCAAATATATTTACATGTTTCCATTTAGGTTTCCGCTTGCAGGACCAAGCATAAAGGAATATTAACAATAAGCGGGAGGAACACGAATAGGGCGGTTCAGCTTCTCAGCTTACTAGTCGTTATATTGAAAACAGACAACAAAATGCGGATACACAGAACAGACAGACAAGCACACACACGCATACAAACAACTTCTTTTGCGCTTTTACGTTTGCATAATTATGTAACAAAAACCATGGCGGAAAAACGCACTATTTAACTTCTTCAGGTTTAGTGCTCAGAAACAGACATCGTTCAAATTTTTTTCTTTCAGTTGTTTCTTTTCCACTTGTCTGGTTTCCTTACAGCCAGATTTTTACCCCAACGACGACCTGACATTTGCAGGTCATAAAAATTACCTTCTTTTACAAACTGAAAGAATTGTCCGTTGTTTCACGACAACAGATAAAAAATAGCAAAAAAAGTCCACGCATACATCCAGTCATCTTGGAAAACGAGAACATGCTGCATACCTGCAATCCCAGGCGGCCCTTGCGGACCCATTTTACCGGGTGGTCCTTTTTCTCCTGGCTTCCCTGGAATGCCTGGTTCGCCAATTTCACCAGGATATCCTTTGGGTCCTTTATCACCGGGGGGTCCAGGAGGACCAGCTGGTCCTGGCGGGCATTCTCTGACACATGGCGTAAACTCCGATGAACTATCGGCCTCCGCATCTGAACAGTGATGCTATAACATATTCACTTTTGCTTTTTGAAGGAAGTTTAAAACAATAATTTATAAAAAATCAAACCTTTTCCAGGAGGCCCATCATTCCCAGGCTGACCATCT